CCGCGCCCGGCCTTTTTTTTTTTTTTTTTTTTTTTTTGACAGGGTCTTGCTCGCACTGTCGCTCAGGCTGGAGAGTACAGTGATGCAGTTGATCATGGCTCACTGCAATCTCCACTTCCCAAGCTCAAGTGATCCTCCCACCTCAGCCCCCCGAGTAGCTGGGACCACAGGTGCACACACACCACCAAGCCTGGCTAATTTCTAAAACTTTTGTAGAGATAGAGTCTCGCTATATTGCCCCAAGCTGGTCTCAAACTCCTGCTCTCAAGCGACCCTCCCACCTCAGCCTCCCAAAGTGCTTGGATTACAGGTGTGGGCATCCACACCCAGCCAGGATTTCTTAAGGATGCTGGAGTGTGGGCAGCCAGCTCCATCTCTGAGACTTTGACCCTTCCCCAAATCGCAATCATTTTATTCCTTCATCAAAGAAAAAAAAAAAAGATGACTTACTAGACACTTGTTAAGGCACACACCACACACAAAACTACAGTATAGCAGGACAGATGGTAACCAAGAGAGAACTCAGGATCTGTCACTACCAGCTGGAAACACCTGACCTCCAGCCTGCAAATGTGACAAGCTGGAACAACACCAGCAGGACACTGAACACAGCTTGCACGGTTGAGTCTCTGCGTCATTTCTGGACATGTGGCCAAGTAACCAGAACAACTTGAAATGGCACCAAGCCTTTGCTGTCATTCCCATAAACCTCTAACAGTGAGCTGGGTCTTGGGTCTTCAAAGAACCTGTCTCTGTCAGCTTATCTTATGCTGTGTAACAAACAGGCCCAAAGCTCTTGGTGGCATACACCAAGCATGGTGGATCTCTCACTCACCACGATGGCCCCTATGCTGGAGGGCTGGGGTTGTGCTCCATTTTCTCTTTTGGAAGGAGCAGCCCCTGTCTGAGATCTCACTTGTCTCACAGCAGAGGGATGAAATGGCAGGACGCTGGCTTTGATGGGCTCCATTCAGCAATGGTACATGCCAAGTGGGTTACATTTCACTGCCCAGACCAAGTTACATGGCCACGTCTGATATTGATGTGTGGGAAATGCAGAATCTTCCTGCAGTTGGGGAGGCAGATATTGGGACAATATGCAATTCATTACAGGGCCAGCTGGATGAAGAATGGCCAAGGGCCCAGGCTCTTCATCCCAAGCCAGGCCGAACCAGCCGAGGCCCTGAGATCAAGCCACGGTCATCAGTGTTCGTTTGGAATTATGCCTTGTCCTTGTTGCGTCCACATTGTAGTAGGGTTTCTGTTTTTTAATTCATCTGAAATTGGTGGTTGGTGTGGTCCACAGATGAGAAACAGGAACTCTCAACGCTGCCCTTCAACAGGAGCTGCAGTGGGAACACAAATGGTGCAGCCACTTTGGAAGATGGTTTGGTGGTTTCTTACAAAACTAAATGTACCCTTCACATATGATCCATCGCACACCATCCAGCAATTGTACTCCTTGGTATTTGCCCAAATGAGTTGAAAACTTGCATCTACACAAAAACCTGCGCGTGGATATTGATAGCAGCTTTATTCATTATTGCCAAAACCTGGAAGCCTTCAGGAGGTGAGTGGCTAAACAAACTGTGGTGCATCCAGTCAGTGGAATATTATTCAGTGCTAAAAAGAAATGAGCTCAAGTCATGGAAAGACATGGAAGAACCTTAAGTATTATTAAGTCGAAGAAGCTGATCTGAAAAGGCTGATGCTGTATGAGTCCAACTCTATGACATTATAGAAAAGGCAAAACTACGAAGACAGTAAAAGGATCAGTGGTTGCAGGAGTTAGGGAGGATGGAGGGATGAATAGGTGGAGCACAGAGGATTTTGAGGGCAGTGAAACTACCTTGTACGATACTGTAATGGTGGATACAGGACAGTAAGCATCTGTCCAAACCCATAGAATGTACAGCACTGAGAACAGACCCTCATGTAACCTATGGACTTCAGTTAATAATATTGAATCAAAAAATAGCAAACAATAAAACAGTGCTCTTCAGACACCATCACCTGCTGTGTCACCTGCTGGGAGCTGGAGGAGGGGCTTCCTAGCCCCTTCTGTTTTAAAGGCTAGGCTGGTGCTTGGCTCAGCTCTGTCCTCCCCTAACACTAACCACCTTTGTATGCACCACAGCCCACTGGAGGGGTTTTCTGATGTCACCTCCCCAGGTGGAGAAAGCACCTGCAGCAGGGACCTTCTGTCTCTCTATTCATTGCTAAGTCTCTGGTGCCTGGAACAGGGGCTGGCATGCTGGAGCTTGGAATGTTTGCCCAGCCCAGTGCCTCTGCCCTCTGCCTGGATGGCCACAGTGCCCTTCTGGTCCCCTCACCCCCTTCCCTCTTGCTGGCGCTCCTCCTTCCTCACCTGGCAGCTGAGATGCTTCTACCACTCCCTGCTTTAGTCCCTCTGGGGCTCCCCACTGCTGGCTGATGAAATCCAACCTTTGGCACTAGTCCATCAGGCCCGGGGAGGTACAGGAGACCAGTAGGACAGGGCAGGGAAGGGGGAGGCCCAGCAGGCACACCCAAAAGACACCCTTACACTACACCATATGTATGCCTGTGTGCCGGCCTCACATGCACCAGCAGGCCAGGCCCGCCAAGGTCCCCTGGCACCAGCAGCCTACCCTGCCTCATCTGTCCTGCCTCACCCTCATCCTCTGGCTCCAACACATCCACCCTTCTCCCTCACCACCTTCATCTGGACTGTCTGTAGATTAACGGAGCAACTGCCTGTCTTCCCAGCCCAGTCTGTGGGACAGGATAGTGCAATGGTTTCCAGGCCTGGTCCCAGAGCACCCCAGCCCAATATCCCTCTGCCCTGCCAAGGTCAGCAGCATGACCTCAGGTGGATTACTCCATGCATCAGTGTCCTCTTCAAACAAGGAACACGGTGGGACCTGGCTGAAGCTGATCCTGCTTAGCACATGCCTGGCACAGGGAAAAGCCATTGCTATGTGCCTGGCGGTCCTGGTGTCATAGTTCATATGATGATCGTGGATCCCCAGTGGAGCTAGGGTGTGACTGCCACACGGCCGACCCATGAGTGCCCTGGCCGCCAGCCGGTGCCTGTGTTTTCAGCTTGGATGAGGCCTGGGGGCTGGGACGCATGCTCGTATCTGCTCTTCCCCAACAGCACGGGTGAGAAGAGAGCTTTGCAAACAGTGCCATCGGGTATTATTTCCATGGCTGTCCCCACATGAGAATCACATAACACAGCACTGGAAAAAACCCTGGACATTTCTCAGCCCAGATGGGGAAACCGAGGCCCCCAGAAGGAAAGGCCAGCTTGCCTGGGTCACATGTGCCCAGAGTCCCACCTGTGACTAGCAGCCCACGGAGGGTGGTGGCCTGTGGGTCCCTGCAGCCAGCTCCTGCCCTGGGGAGAAACTCCTCCTGAGAAATGGCACTGGGCCTCACCTTCACGTCCCCACAAAGCCCTCACACTGCTTTTGAAAAAGCTACCCTTGAGTGACAAGAGGGTGCTGGGCAACCACATGTCCCGTGCCCAGGGGCCAGGACTGTGAGAAGTCAAGCAAGGTAGGAGCCCCACCAGCCCCGGCTGCAGCAGGAGGCCTGGCAGCAGATGCCACTGTGGATGATGAGGATCCACCCTAGCAGATCGGTCACCAGAAACAGTTAACTCAGGTTACCCTGTGCACCCACGAACTGCCTGCCAAGCACCCGGTCCAGCCTCCTCCCAGGCCAGGGCAGAAGGCACTGCCACCCTCCTTTATCTCAGAAGGGAAAGGGCTTTGTGCTGCTCACACAGGTGAATGCTGCGGTTTCTCCACTGGGGAGAGGTTTGAAGGTTGAAGCCAGGTCTACATGGGTCTGGTCCCTCGTTACCATCGGCTGAGGGTCCCTGTTGCTGAGGCAAAGCAGCGGGACCTGCCACTCTCAGGTCCCAGGGGCATTTCCCAGAGTCTGGCCCCAGCTGGGCCTCGAGGCCAGCCCCTTCGCCCTCCTCGCCCAGCCCTTCCAGGCAGCTGGGGGAGGCTCAGTTAATTATATGTCTAAATACACCTCGAGCATCTCAAGTTGAGCCCCCCCTTTGTCCCTGACCCAGTGCGGGGCCAGGGGGGAGGGAAGTCAGCAACTGTCACGTAGGGCCCCATGAGGGTCCACCAGCTCTTTTCTTCTCCTAGCCCAAGGCACCAGCAAAAATACTGCTAGCTGTTCTGTTTTTGCTATTTTACGTCACCCTTTCCATTGTAAGCCATAATTTTCAGAGGTTTATAGGTCAGCTATTAAAAAAATAATAAACGTCTCTTTTACCAAGAGGGAGCGCTTTGAAACTAGTCGGCTGGTAGGGCCGACAGTGTGGGTGCACAGGGAGGCACACAGCCTCGACTTCTTCCACCAAAGCCTGGTCATCAGAAACCACCCCTCCCCATGCCCTCCTGGTTCCAGGGCACCACCCCTTTGTGTTCTCATTTCTCCCTCCCCTCAGAGGCTTCGAGGCTGCCCCCCTCCACTGCAGGTGTGACTAGACCTTGAACATTTCGGGTGTTTTGACCTAGGGAGACCCTGGTGCAAGGCCTGAAGAAAAGTCTGTAGGACTGGATGTGTCTTGGTGGAGTCCTGCTCCCCACCCTCTACCCCAGCACATCCTCAAACTAGCAGGGTCCTGAGCCCATCAGCTGGGGGCAGAGGGGTTTCTCATGGTTTCCTTTAAACAAGCCTGAGTCTGGGCAGCAAGTCAGGGGCTGTGCTCCCTGCCTGCTGGGGCTATGTGAAGCCCACGCTTGTCTTTCTGCAGCCCCGCAGGTGGGAGGTGATAAATGCAGGGTGCACTGCAGGCCGGCCGCCCCTCCTGAGATAAGGGAACTGGAGCAGGTGGATTTGGGCCAGGCCCAGCCAGGAGAGAGGCTTCCCCTTTTGGATGGACTGGGGATGCCCACTTTGGCCTGCTCTCTCTTGCATTCTAGCTCTCCAGCTTTTGGGGGTGCAGGAGAAGGGAGCTGGAGGCAGGCATAAGCACAAACAGACTGGAGTTGCAGCATTTTTCGGCCTCTTTATTTAGAACCCGGCGGACGAGGGGCCGGGGCAGTGGTACAGACGGCTCAGGAACCATTTTAACAGATTTGTCTTCAAGTTTAAGATAAACACAGTAATAATAAGAGAGCGAGCGAAAGCGCGAAGAGACTGCAAGCTAGATGGGCATGTATGGCAGCTACAGCTTGTGAGTGACCCCTTTCCCCAGAGTCCGCGATGAAAATAAAGTTACACTTGTCAATAACCGGATGTGGGAGATGGATGGTGCCTTTGGCATAACCAATAACCAAGCTAGTGCGTGGCAGAGCGGTCCACGCCTGGACATAAATAGAAAATATAAGTTAGTATAACTTTAAAAACTTTTTGTACAAATATACATGGTTTTTTTATTTTTTCCTTTTTTTTTTTCTTTTTTCTTTTTTTTTGCACTGAGTTTCAGCAGAGATTAAACATTTTATATAAATGACTCTTAAAGCTTTACACCTTGGGACCAGTGTACCTTCTCGTGCAGAATACATTTAGATATAAAAAGACGTTATTAATACATTGCACAGTTTTCAAAATTTAAACACAAAACCGAACGCTGCTCTGCGGCAGCCGCCGCCGGTTGCTGCTACATGAACGGTCCCAGCCGAGGCCCAGCGCCCTTCCAACGTCCGCTGCCCCGGCAGGTTCCCTCGGGGCTCTTTGGGCTCTAAACTGCAGGGAGAAGGGCGGTCAGGAAAGCCGGCGGGGACCCCGCGGGTCAGCCCCCCGCACCCCCCAGGTGCGCTGTACTCACTTCGCTCACCGCAGCCTCTTGCGCGGGGTCTGCTCCACCGAG